CTGATGAAGGGTCTAGGCCCGAAACGTCAGCTTTCCTGCTCCTATGATGCTGCTTGGCCAGCTGTGTTCATCCAGCTCTACACCTTGTTGTCTCTAATATAACCTGCTGTCTGGTTGATTCCAGAACTAAGAAACTCTCTCATAAGCATTCTACGAATTCCTCATCTAGGCTGCTCCTGCCAATGTGATTTTCCCAGTTTATATGTAGATCAAATTCATCCATGATTATTGCCATAAACATTCAATATTTCTTTTTGTGTACTTTGTCACAAGACATAAGAGCAGAAGATATAAAAGCAAAAATCAGCCTTTCAGCCTACTCCACCATTCAATGAGATCATGGCTGATCTGATAATCTTCTCAACTCCACTTTCCTGCCTTTTCCCTGTAACCCTTCATTTCTTTATTGATTAAAAATCCATCTCAGTCGGTCTCAGTCTTGACTCTACTTGATAACCCAGCCTCGACATCCCTCTGTGGTGAGAGCACAAACTCCTCCTCATACATTGCAGTTAGTTAGGAAGTCTGGAGATCATCCCTAATGTGACTTACTTCTTCTACTATTAATCAACTTCAGCCAAAATAATTCCACATCCTGATCTCCTGAGCCAAGATCATACCAAGTTATTTTACCCATGACCTCCTTTATTAACAATACTGCCCTTCCACCTTTAATTAGCATCTTAGCTTTCTTGAAGTCATAATCAAAATTCTGATCCAGTTGTCGTCACTATGTAGCCATGTCTCTTTGATAGCTGTTATCGTATGTATCTCCTTTCGTGTGTGTTATCAATTCATCTATATTGTTATGATTATTAAACACATGCAGATACAATGCCCTTATGCCTTTTTTGTTATCTTGTTATCTAATCTTGACTGTCGGTTTATTGTTAGATTTTATTCTCATTGTCCCTTCTTGCCATTCCGACACCTTCATTTCTCACATAACTATTTTGCTCTCCCACCTCAACTCTCTGCTTTACATACTCAACTCACAACTTAAAGCCAACTCTACTTCCCTAGTTGTACAGTAGTCTTTCTAAAGCACATTACCTCACACCTCTTCACATCAAATCCATCTGCCAATCTTCGCCTCATTCCCAATTCTGTCTATGTCATCTTGAATTCCTCACATGTACGTAAAAATGAGGAGTAGGTCATTCAGCCCTTCCAATCTACTCTGCAATTCAATGAGTTCATGATTGTGATCTCAACTCCACAATCCTGCCTATTCCTGATAACCATCAACTCCCTTGTTAGTCAAAATCTAACAACCTCTACAAATAGTTTCATCATGATCTACAGCAATGTCAGGTTTTGAATCATTTGATTCTAGATTTAGATTTAGATTTTAAATTTTATTGTCTATATTTCAGCGTCCTACACCTGAATACAAGCGACTTAAAAGGTGAACAAAAACAGAAGTTGCTGGAAAAGTTCAGCAGGTCTGGCAGCATCTGTGAAGAAAAGATCAGAGTTAATGTTTCAGGCCTGGTGATCCATCCACAAAGGGAGGGAGGGTCTCTGGACCCAAAACGTTAACTCTGATTTTTTTTCTTCATGGATGTTGCCAGACCTGATGAGCTTTTCCAGCAACTTCTGTTTTTGTTCCTGATTTACAGCATCCACAGTTCTTTTGGTTTTTACTTAAAAAGTAAAGCTGGATATCCTTTGTTACAATCTGCGTGAGAAAGCCATAAATCATAATAACTACATTTCCCAAACAGACCCAAAATGAAAAAAAAATCAATGAAATTCCACTTTTTGTAACTTTATTTTATATTAACACAAATTAGAATCAACACAAATTCAGCTTGAATTAACAGGCAAATCATACTTCAAATAAAAAGGTAAATTTCTCTTTAAATTATCAATACTACAAAAATAAGTTTCACAACCAGAAAGATTCCCTTTAGCATGCACGTAGCTACACAATTCCACAACATACTGCTCTTCATTCATACACATATACGCCAGGAGTCCTATCTGACAATAACTTCCACCTCCAGGTTTCATGATTATTATCAGCCAGGTATGATTCTATGAACATTCTCACCCTCAAAACATGAAAATCCTGATGTGTATCTCTCCAGAGTTTGTTTTCAAGCATCATGACAGGTTGAAGTGTCAACAAATGAGATCTTAGGTAAGGTTTGAGAGATTTGCTTCATTTTCTCATAAGAATCTGGCATTCCTCTTTCTTTCCATCTGTCTGTTTTCTCATGTGCATGCTTCAATGGCTGTACAATCTGGTACCTCTGCTTGTAGTTCACCTTGGTGCCTGTATGCAACACACTCTCTGGTATTAACTTCAATTCTGTTGGTACTGCTTTCAGGCCAAGGGTCTCAGGGTCACATGTACTGATATCTCTTATTATCCAAGAACATTACAACTAATCCCTTTATAATTAAACCTAATTCTTAAAATTCCTTTCCAAACATCTTTAAAAACAACTACACACTATATAGATCTTTTAAAGAAACCAAAGATTTTCCTTACTTCTGGATCAAAAGTTGTCACACCTTTCTTTTACATTCTCACACAGAAAAAATAGCACTGTCCAGGAGGCCATTCACGCAACATGTCAGCACCAGTCTCCAAGTGAGCAATTCACTAAACGTCATTCTCCTGCCTGCTCCCTGTAACACACATTCTTCCTTCACAACTTGCTGCATGAACAAGTTTTCCTTCTATTGTTTTTGCTTCTTTTGCTGATTGCTTTAAGTTCGTGCCCTCTTAATCTTGGTCCTTCCATGAATTGGAATAGTGCTTCTTTGTTAACGTTTTAAAGAAGAGTCATACTGGACTCGAAACGTTCAATCTGTTTCTCTCACCACAGATAGTGCCAGACCTGGTGAGTTTCTCCAGAATTTCTTCTTACACTAGAGAGATTGACACATCATGGGGGATGTTTTAGGTATGAATAGTTAACTTGAATTCTGCTTGAAAATTTAAGATGCATTTAATTTATACGTGTACACACATTTTAGTTTAATGCAGAAATTTCACTGTGTGTGTGGTTAGGAGCAAGAGATCACACCTCATTGGTAAAAGTTGCCTTTAGCAGATTGATATCACTCAAAATCACTGGTAACTGCAGTAAACTATCTACTTTAACAGGAAAATTCAGTGTGTTACTTTTTTTTTTACATATTATACAATAATAATTGTACTTTTAATTTTCAAGAACATTGCACACAGGGAAAGGTGTATGTGGTACTAATATATTAATAACACTGTTTAATAGTACTGGTCAACCAATCTATCCTTTGAACTTTAATCCAAATGACTCAACTGTGCTGGTGAACGAACATTCAAAGCATTGGTAGACTTTGAAACCAAACTTGATGACTTTGTGTGCATGTCTCTGCATGCATGCACCTGTGTGTGCATGCACATGTGCGGCATAAGGCAAGGGCACTTTCAAAAAGAGGCAATTCATGTACAGGTAGTTCTGCTACAACGCTTGTTTTGTTAATGTGAAAATTGGCTGTAATGTAGTTAATGAATAATGGACGCAGTTTGGATAATGCAAACTTTCTGCTGTATAGGTAGATCCATTTCCCTATAATGTGATTTTCTATGGCGATTTTGTATTGCACGAGGTCACACAAAAACGCAACTATGGCGTTATAGGAGAACTACTGTACTTTCTAATTTCCATCAGAATTGAACTGTGCTGATCTGCACTTGAACAATTTACCAATGGAGAGGAAATCGGATTTATTCCTCCTTCTCTAATTACATACTGAAATCATTTAAAACAAAAATTAAAAATACCGTGGAAAATGAGATAGTCATTCAACAATAGAAATTGTCCTATAGGCCAAGATACAAATTGCTTCAGTTCTATCCTCAAGGGAAATGGGATTAATATACTTACATCTTAACACTTACCCAATATTAATTAACACACAACATTAAATTATCAAGATGTAATCTGGAAATACAAGTTATGCTACTTACCTGTGGATTTGGGTCCTGCTTTTATATTAAGGATTCCCTTTAGACTTGAAAGAGAGGCCAAAATGCAAGGCTTGTCAGGATGAGGCACAGCCTCCATTGCAACAACAACCTGAGCTGTGTGGATAGAAAACTTCTGAAAGAAGGACATCATTTTCCAAATGTTTCCTTGATCCATGGTTCTCTCAGTAAATGATCCAGGTTCAATCCTCACACCAGATGCTGATGTCAACATCTCCTCTTTACTATAAACTGTTTCAGGAGAGACAGCAGCTTTGGAGGTGATCTCAGAACCATATCTGGGCAGGACACTCTTGAAAAACTTTGTTGCTTGATCCAGTTTGACAAGGCTTAAGTTGACTTTCCAAGGACGTGACAATTCCAAATTGACTTCAGCTGTTTAAAAAAACAGAATGTTTAGAAAATAAAAGGAATTGGAATTCAAACAAATACTTGTTAAAGGCTATGACAGACCTGTCAAATCAAAGGAGCTGGTTTAGTTACTTCACTGAACATGGTTTTGAGTGTCATATACACAACTATGGCATTTAGAAAGTAACAGTTCCACTGAGCAGTGGGGCTGAAGAAAACAAAACCATCTGATTCCGTGCATGGAAAAGAACATTAATCAATTTTGAATTGTTTACATGACTTATTTTGGTTAATGGAGGAATAACATACACATCATTTAACCATCCTCTTATTTACAGCTTTAATCATCAGAAATGTCTTTTCATCAACATTTAGTTTGTTGCTTAAAACTGTTTGAAAGTGCCATTAATTCCAACTAATCAATAGTGGCGAATTGGTCTTAAATGTATCTTTAACATATTGACATCCATGTGAAACTCAAAGCAGCCAAAACTCATTTGACAGTCAAGAGTAAGTCAAACCTTATTATTTGTCAAAAGCAAGCTGCTCACAGAATCTATTTACCTTCTTTGAAACAAAACATCGAATCAAAAGTTACTCAAGAGCACATCTTGTATGTATTAGTCAATTTGTCAAATCCACAGGCTCCTTACCAACACAGAGAGAAATACAAATCAACCAATTTTTAAACAATACATTAAATGCCACATAATAAATATCAAGTTACGATTATACTGTGTGGTACGTCAAGTAGCAGACATTTGGGGTTACAAAAGGTGCATGCTGTCCTCGGGTGGAGCTGGGCCCAGTTGTGCCACAAATGCTCAAGTGCAGTTTGGAATCTCATGCATGTCTGTGCTGCTTCCTTTAGGCATATGTAATTCTGTAGTAGGCAGGCTCTGCTTTTACTTTACATTTGCCTTTTATTAAAAGCAAAAAAAAAAGTTCACTGCTGTTGTATGGGAGTAATCAGCCTCAAGTTCTGTTAAAGACTGAAAAAGTCTATGTCTAGCTGTCTATCATCACAGTGAAATATCACATCGAACTCAAGAAGCTGGTGATGGTAAAATATAGAAAATTAACTTGACCAGGTTTTATTGGAAATTTTTAAACAAGGCAATGCTAGCAAATGTAAATCATTAACAACAACAGGTACAATAAAGTACTCAAATATCAGGCTTCTTGTATTAAATCCTATCGTTCAGCTCCATTTTTCAATGAATAGCTTAATTTTACTGAAAAGAAATATTACTGTTATAATTATGACAGATTAATTGTAGGCATATTTTTAAGTTGGGAGGCAATGGCCGAGTGGTATTATTGCTGGACTGTTAATCCAGAGACCCAGTTAACGTTCCGTGGGACCTGGATTCGAATCCCACCACGGTAGATGGTGGAATTTGAATTCAATAAAATATCTGGAATTAAGAATCTAATGATGACCATTAATCTATTGTCGATTGTCGGAAAGACCCAACTGGTTAACTCATGTCCGTTAGGGAAGAAAACTGCCATCCTTACCTGGTCTGGCCTACATGTGACTCCAGACCCACAGCAGTGTGGCTGACTCTTAACTGCCCTCTGGGGCAATTAGGGATGGGCAATAAATGCTGCCGAGCCAGTGACACCCTCATCCCATTATGAATAAAGAAAGAAAAAGTGAATTGGAATGGTAACTGTGAAGCATGGTGGCTGGTCTGTCATAGCTTGAAGAGATATTTTCATGCAATTTTCCACTTTTCAATGCAAAAATTACGGATTGGGCTGTTGGATGTGTTTCTGGGAGAAGGCGCAAGTGTACATCACAGCCTAGACCTCCTGGCTTTCACCCCTCAGGCACTACAATTCTATCTGCATCAAACAGATCATGCCTCACAGTAAAGACAGGGACTTCTCGGATGGGGATCTGCAGGAGCTGGTGGATGGCGAGGTGGAGAAGTGGGCAATCCCTTTTCCTGTTGACCACCAAAGGAGGCCATACCAACAGGCACAACCGGCCTGCACAGAAATTGCAGCACAGATCGCTACTGTGTTCCAGATCAGCTGTATAGGAAGGTGGTCACTGATCTTCTGTCCTCCACAGGGGCAAATGGCGTTGTCTTCTCTCTGTTATTCCATACTCATAAGGTCACCATTCATTCTAACTCTGCCACTGCATACACATCTTGCCAAGACGAAAGGACTACAAGACTCAGCACTACATGAATCATGACCACTCAAGGGCTCATACCTAGTCCAAACTACCAGCTCTTCCTGCCCCTTGTACTTCCTCCACACTGAATGAGGATACCTCACCATCGGCATTCCCTCAAAACTGTCATTCTTCTGCATGGGCCTCCAAGGTCCGTGCACGGCAGCGATATCCGGAACCAAAGTCAACCTACACAGCACATCAATCACCATACATGGGATACTGGAGTATCTGTGCGCAGCCGAACAGGAATGTTGTTCACCACTTCTCCAACTCATAAATAACCACTGGCTGTTCTTACATCCACTTCCATCAGATTCAATCCCTGCCTTTGTCAGAAAACACTGGCCCAGCTCCCCCAGATTTGTCTCTCAGCGTACCCTAACTGACCTACTTGCAATCTCTGGACTACTTGACCTGCAGGATTGACGTGGTCAACCCCCTACTGTGTACTCAGATTAATTCCTTAACTGCCTGTGCCAGTATCTCTGATTGACTGTAGTTGCCACTTCACCCGTCTGAGGCCTCTTCTCCTTTCATTATTATACATCACCATTTGCTTGGAGTGCATGCACTGCGTAAACTGCCAGAACATGAACAGCTCTGATGTTGAGGTTCATGGCAACATACAGTGACATGTCCAATCCCTTTCTGACTGATTGTTTGACAACTGAGAGCTCCTCAACATCACAAAATGTCTGCCTCTCCCTCTTTCTGCTTGTGGAAGAGTCCAGGTCTAGAAGGCTTAATCTCAGAATAAGGGGTCGCACAGTTAAGACAGAGATGATGAGGAATTTCTTCTCTCAGAAGGCAGTGAATCTGTGGAGTTGTTAACACAGAAGGTTGAGACAACAAGGTGCAGAGCTGGATGAATACAGCAGGCCAAGCAGCATCATAGGAGCAGAAAGGCTGACGTTTCGGGCCTAGACCCTTCATCAGAAATGGGGGAGGGGAAGGGGGTTCTGAAATAAATAGGGAGAGAGGGGGAGGCAGATAGAAGATGGATAGAGGAGAGGATAGGTGGAGAGGAAACAAACAGGTCGAAGAGGCGGGGATGGAGCCAGTAAAGGTGAGTGTAGGTGGGGAGTAAGGGAGGGGATAGGTCAGTCCAGGGAGGATGGACAGGTCAAGGGGGCGGGATGAGGTTAGTAGGTAGGAGATGGGGATGCAGCTTGAGGTGGGAGGAGGGGATAGGTGGGAGGAAGAACAGGTTAGGGAGGCGGGGACGAGCTGGACTGGTTTTGGGATGCGGTAGGGGGAGGGGAGATTTTGAAGCTTGTGAAATCCACATTGATACCATTGGGCTGCAGGGTTCCCAAGCGGAATATGAGTTGCTTTTCCTGCAACCTTCGGGTGGCATCGTTGTGGCACTGCAGGAGGCCCAGGATGGACATGTCGTCTGAGGAATGGGAGGGGCAGTTGAAATGGTTCGCGACTGGGAGGTGCAGTTGTTTATTGCGAACCGAGCGTAGGTGTTCTGCAAAGCGGTCCCCGAGCCTCCGCTTGGTTTCTCCAATGTACAGGAGGCCACAACGGGTACAGCGGATGCAGTATACCACATTGGCAGA